GACTTCGTGTCCTGACCTTTAAACTTGTTTTCCTTCAAAGGAAACCAGCGTCACTAAAACAACTTCAAATTCAAACTTCATCCTCATTCATGGTAGAAAGCACTAAGCACTGATTAAAGAAAACTGAAACAAATTCTAACTTGAATCTCTAACAACTGAAGACTTTTAAATTGTCGTTCTTCATCATTAGCCATTAGATTGACTTGGGCGACCAAACACACTCCCACAGTTGGTGTTTTATTACTCCTGCAGGAGATCAATCACCCTCAGATTCAACCTCTTTCATCTCCTCCGTGCTGATGCTCCTGGAGTTTCCTTCGAGGTTCTGTCGTGAATCATCTTTGTTAGTTTAGGACTGACAGAGCTGCGACTCCAGGGATAAGTAGGAGAAAGAAAAGGAGGAGGAGGAGCAATGTTGTTTCTGATGTAAATCACTGCCACTCTGTGTGTGTGTGTGTGTGCGTGCATGTTTGTGTCACTGCACAGCCATCATCTGAAGAATCAACAGGTCAAAGTGTCCTACGCAGCTCTTTGTTGTTTATCCAACAGCAGGGTTCACCTGTCCTCCTTACTTCACACACGTCTGTCTTTGACTTCTAATAAAATAAAATTTAAAAACTCCCATAATTCCTGGCTGCCACAGTCAGAGCAGAGATTTAACACAGATGTGAGAATAATGATCACACTCACAGTTTCCTAATGAATTCACTTTCACTTATTATTTTGTCTTTTATGGATCCCCATGTTGATGAAGTAACTTAAACTAACTAAAAAAGTTTAATTTTCAACTCTTAGCATTTTTTACTGCGCTGTGTATCTATAACAAGGCTGTTTTTTCTGAACTTTCAGGGTATTCTGTGATGGAAACTATTGAATTTTATTATCTGTTTTTTTCGACTACGAATTTTAAGCAATATAACCGTTTTACGTGAGTCACATCATTTTTTCCCTCAAAGATGCTACTGTTTTTTTTATTTTTAAACCTGTATGTCTGAAATTATTGTTTTTATGTGCAGATCTTTAGGTTCTGTGAACAGAACCAATCTGAAGAACGTGGTCTCAGTTACAACAACGTGTTTCCTTGAAGGATAAACTTAGACTGTGTTCTTTAAAGAGTGGAGGGCCAGTGCCAGATTCCTGTTGCATTCTGGGAGTGCCATCACATCCTGTTGGGTCTGAGCCACTGTACCCAGAGGGGACGTACAGTACTGTCAAGCACCTTAATCCAAAGGCACTTTGGGAGGCCTGAGGGGGAGCACACTCAAATTTAGCTCAATGGCGGCGCCTGAAGGAGGAGCCAGTGAAGCAAACAGGTTGTTATTCACAACATGAAACAAACATCACACACAAACACAGAGTGGACTCGCCAGCAGCTGTTCTTTCAGCTCAGAGGCTGTCGGTTCAACACCCCGTGTGGAGGACAGTTTTTCAAATGTCTTCAAGCCTTTGTAACCAAAGTTTTACAGCAGGTTATTTGGTTTTATACTTGTCATTAACCATGAATGAGTGACTCCATCCAGAATTGGAAAATCAGGATTAAAAAAAGAACAAAAAGAAATTAAAGCAAAGTGAAGATTAAATAAATGCATAGAGGCTGAATTTTTTTTGAAAAGTATATATATATATATACATATATATGTATATATATATATATACTTTTCAAAAAAAATTCAGCCTCTATGCATTTATTTAATCTTCACTTTGCTTTAATTTCTTTTTGTTCTTTTTTTAATCCTGATTTTCCAATTCTGGATGGAGTCACTCATTCATGGTTAATGACAAGTATAAAACCAAATAACCTGCTGTAAAACTTTGGTTACAAAGGCTTGAAGACATTTGAAAAACTGTCCTCCACACGGGGTGTTGAACCGACAGCCTCTGAGCTGAAAGAACAGCTGCTGGCGAGTCCACTCTGTGTTTGTGTGTGATGTTTGTTTCATGTTGTGAATAACAACCTGTTTGCTTCACTGGCTCCTCCTTCAGGCGCCGCCATTGAGCTAAATTTGAGTGTGCTCCCCCTCAGGCCTCCCAAAGTGCCTTTGGATTAAGGTGCTTGACAGTACTGTACGTCCCCTCTGGGTACAGTGGCTCAGACCCAACAGGATGTGATGGCACTCCCAGAATGCAACAGGAATCTGGCACTGGCCCTCCACTCTTTAAAGAACACAGTCTAAGTTTATCCTTCAAGGAAACACGTTGTTGTAACTGAGACCACGTTCTTCAGATTGGTTCTGTTCACAGAACCTAAAGATCTGCACATAAAAACAATAATTTCAGACATACAGGTTTAAAAATAAAAAAAACAGTAGCATCTTTGAGGGAAAAAATGATGTGACTCACGTAAAACGGTTATATTGCTTAAAATTCGTAGTCGAAAAAAACAGATAATAAAATTCAATAGTTTCCATCACAGAATACCCTGAAAGTTCAGAAAAAACAGCCTTGTTATAGATACACAGCGCAGTAAAAAATGCTAAGAGTTGAAAATTAAACTTTTTTAGTTAGTTTAAGTTACTTCATCAACATGGGGATCCATAAAAGACAAAATAATAAGTGAAAGTGAATTCATTAGGAAACTGTGAGTGTGATCATTATTCTCACATCTGTGTTAAATCTCTGCTCTGACTGTGGCAGCCAGGAATTATGGGAGTTTTTTAATTTTATTTTATTAGAAGTCAAAGACAGACGTGTGTGAAGTAAGGAGGACAGGTGAACCCTGCTGTTGGATAAACAACAAAGAGCTGCGTAGGACACTTTGACCTGTTGATTCTTCAGATGATGGCTGTGCAGTGACACAAACATGCACGCACACACACACACACACACACACACACACACACACACAGAGTGGCAGTGATTTACATCAGAAACAACATTGCTCCTCCTCCTCCTTTTCTTTCTCCTACTTATCCCTGGAGTCGCAGCTCTGTCAGTCCTAAACTAACAAAGATGATTCACGACAGAACCTCGAAGGAAACTCCAGGAGCATCAGCACGGAGGAGATGAAAGAGGTTGAATCTGAGGGTGATTGATCTCCTGCAGGAGTAATAAAACACCAACTGTGGGAGTGTGTTTGGTCGCCCAAGTCAATCTAATGGCTAATGATGAAGAACGACAATTTAAAAGTCTTCAGTTGTTAGAGATTCAAGTTAGAATTTGTTTCAGTTTTCTTTAATCAGTGCTTAGTGCTTTCTACCATGAATGAGGATGAAGTTTGAATTTGAAGTTGTTTTAGTGACGCTGGTTTCCTTTGAAGGAAAACAAGTTTAAAGGTCAGGACACGAAGTCCATCTTTTCATCAGTCTTAATAATTTATTTATCACTTATATAAACTTTAATAAATTGTGCTTTTAGTGGTTCAACTTCTCCTTGGCTCAAATACTTGAGAGAAAAAAACTTTAATTTTACTGATAGAAAAGATCTGCTCATCGATGAACAGTATTTCACACAGATCGTTTCTGTTGATCATGGTGAAAAATCCCAGATTTTCTCTTTGATTTTGCAGAGTGTGAAGTTCATAGACAGATCAAACCTACAGAGGAGATAGAGCAGAGGATTGGCTTTGACATTTGCTGTCGTTAATGGTTTGACGTCAGTCCATCTTCGGTCCTCAGTCCTCATTCAGCAGTAATGGATTGTTGTGGCTGAGCTGCTGCTATTGTTCAACCTGTGAAAAGGTCAAGACCAGGCTGCGCTTGGTGTTTTTCAAATGTCTCCCTTTCTCTAATTTTTTGGTGTGAATTTGAGTCTTGGACTAGACCAGACCATCTGTTCCTCCTGCATATGTTTCTAATGAAACTCCAACTTTATCAATTGTCAAACTGCCTCTAGAAAATCAAATACTGACAACTACATTTCTAAAATTTCCCATTTATATAATAAATTAATTGGCTCACAACAGCATTTTTGTTGATACCTTTTGTTTTTTAGCCAGCTAGCTGCGTTGCTAGTGTTGACTAGCATCATCTTGCTAGTAGCAGTAGGTTACGGTGTCAGACTCAGGACTAGTTTTGTTTGGTAGTTACTCAGTTTTGTAAATCTGTATAAAATTTTCAAAACATATTCATGTATTTGATGTTGCCATCTGCTGGTTGTGGCCCACTGGTGGTTAAAAGGAACTACAGGTGAGATTCTTGTTCTTATTTACTGATTTAAAAAACAGGTGTTTTGCAAACATTTTTGTGGCTGGCCTGAGTTTTACTACATATTTCTGTGGTAAATCAATTCTTCTGCTAGTTCTCACAGATGATGAAGTATTTTCTCTGTTTGAACAAACATCTTAAAGTTTAAATGTTTGGGTGTGGTGGAAATTCTTTGGGTCACTTTTTGTCCACACCTTGAGGCCACATTATGATGATGACGCATCAGTTTTGATCTGTTTCCTCCATCCGGCCCAGGATCAACTGGCAGAAACACTTCCAGAATATTTAAGTGTTTCGCTGGTTTAGTGTTGGCTGTGCCGGGTGAAACAGTTAAAGGCTGATTGCCATATTTCATGCTTGAATGATTGATGCTGACATTAAAAACATGGCCTTCTCCAGCTGTGGATCAGTGTCCAGTTGTCACTGGAGGAGGAGAGGTCAAACACAGGAGTGAGTCACATCCTGGCTCTGATTTGTCGTTTTTTAAAATGGGAAAAAAGTCTGTGTTTTATTCATTCAATATAAAAAAGAGAGCTGAAGATATCAGACTAATCATGGATGAATGGATGGATGGATAGATGGATGAATGGATGGATGGATAAATGGTTGAATGGATGGATGGATGAATGGACGATCAATTTTCTTAAGGAACTGTTAACTTTCATTCATTCAATCATTAAATTTTTTTTGTCAATTACTTTTTCTTTTACAGGAACCAGAACCACCAAAAGTTCCAAACTTTGGCTCTAAAAAGACACATTTTACCACTTGACTTTTCTAATGTAAATCTGTGTTTATTCTGAAGCCACTAATGTTTATTTTCTTCTGTTTTTCTCTCTCTTCTTCTGTGTCTTGCAGGGCCTCCAGTAAGTAAACCAGCGTCTTGTTTGACCTTCATGTGGTAAAGTGACAGATTTTTCCTTATTTTGCTGTGAAGTGGAGAAACTGGAATGTTCCTTTCTAACACTGCAGATGTCAGTAGAAGTAGCAGTGGTTTTGGAGACGTGGTTGTTGTTGTGGTTCTAGTTCTAGTTTGTGTTTTAACTAACCCGTCTTCCTGAGCTGATTATTGACTGAAGATGTTGATTTTATCGAGCAGCATGTAAAGTCGACGTCAAGCACCTCTTATACCCTTGAGATCCATTAGCACCTGCTCAAGTTTTTATTGAGTTAAGGTTTTATTGGTTGTGTACTTGTATAGATACACGATGACATGTTCCCTTTGCATCAGCAGAGGGCGCTGATGTCTGGGGTCCTGGGATTTCTTTTGTGCTTACCTTGATTAAAAACAAACACTATTTACAGGCAGCAAAACTCCATGTGTTGGTACATTCAGATACTGCAGTTTTCTTTATTACTGATGTAATAGTCATTTTATGATTTAATTGATGACGCTCTTAACATAAAATACCTTGATTGGAAAACTCTTCTGAACAACAGAAGCTTCAGTCAGTTCAGAAACTCTGAAAGACAAGAACTTTGGAAGAAGTTCAACATTGAGGAGTTGTTTCCTTTTTACACTCAGCGCCAAAAAACACAACTGATTTATTAGAACAAAGGCTAAGGCTGAATATCATTTGTGAGTATTTGGACATTTACTAATGCATATGTAATACATAGTAAAAGATATGTAATACATAGTAAAACATATGTAATACATAGTAATACATGTGTAATACATAGTAATACATGAAGGAAATTAAGAAACGGTTAAATGCCTCAAACTGAGCTCTTTGCTCTTCAAACTTTTTCTGGCTGAAGACAAAGTTGCACAGTCACAGCACCACACAGTGGGCAGAAGAAATATTGTTGAAATATTTCAGTTATCAGATGGTGTGTGTGTGTGTGTGTGTGTGTGTGTGTGTGCTCACCTTAGAGTTCAGGAGTGATGAAAAACTCAGCTCCTGGTGTAGTATTACCACAGTAATACTGCAGTCATTTTAACGTCTGCACCTCAACAAGTTTATTATTGAGCGTAGAATCACCCAGGAGAACACACATCCCACGCACAATGACCAAATATATATCTAGGCTGCTCCCACCGACCCCCTGCTTCACCTCCCACCTCCTCCCCTCATTCATTCAGCAGCACTTTGCCAAATGGGAGCCACATGTTGAGGCTCACTGTGTAAATTCAAGTGGAAAGGTTCTTTTCCGGCAGCGGCTGACCTTTGCCTCCTCCTGCAGAGAGGCCCTGAAGAGCCGGTAGCTGATGTGTAGACGCCTACGTGCACTTTGCTGGTGCTCAACACCTGGTCGTGCACCTCAGTTCATGCACTGGCAGCTGTCAGTGCAATGGTCTGGAAATAAAAATAATAAATGTTCATCCAGCCGCTTAGCATCGTCACAAAAGCTTCATCACTGTCAAATATTCACGGGATTTACCTCAACTTAAAGCTAAGATACGTTAAAACGTGGTTTATCTCACAGGGAAGACGATTCTAATAAAAAAAAAAAAATTATTCTTTAGCTCAAAAATCCACAGAGAAAATTAATGTTTTTCCGGTTACTGGTGCAGCTGAAAACAATCAGGAATTGATTAATTTTTAATTATTTTTGTTGGAGTACAGCACTAAACCACTCTGGTACAGGAGAATGTGACGTTTCCAGCAGAAAGAACATTCTCGTCTTGTTGTAGATGAGATTTTGTGAGTCTGTGGTTTGAGTCTTTTATAATGCTGGGAAGTGCAGTGTGTGGTGGCTCCAAATATTAACCTGAACAAATCTAACAACAACAGCTGGTTAATCTATTCAGCACCAATAAAATACTTTTTATTCTTCTGGCTAAATCCGGTTCTTATGGTCCACCTTTGTGTCCCAGTGAGACTGCTGACCTGCTGTGGCCAGTCAAGAGTTCCTGTTTGGACCTCCAACCAATAAATGAGTTCCTTTCTTCAAAAAGAAACTCGTGACTTGTGTTCCGCTCACGTCAACAAAGACAAAACACACTTGACATTCACACTTCTTGGTTCTCCAAATCTCTTTGGGATTTATTTCTTCCTGTTTTTCCTCTGACATGTTGTCTCAACCGCATTCGTGAAATTTCCAGGCTTGAACTTCAGACTTGAGGGTGTTTGACACATCTTTCCTTAAAACCAACATTTAAATGTCTGACTGGAGTCAGGTTTGATTTTTCTTTTCCCAAGGAAAGAACAACTTACAATATTTGATATTGAATTAAATGTAGGCACTGAGAAAAAACATGTACTGATAGAAACACTGAGTGTGTGTGTGTGTGTGTGTGTGTGTGTGTGTGTGTGTGTGTGTGTGTGAACCTAGTGTCCAGCAGTGGTCAACACGTCCCTTGTTTCTACTGTCATGTTGAACCTGTTTGCATGTTTTTCCTCTGTAGTTTTTCTGTGGTTTTCTCGTGTCTTCGTCAAAGTATTTGAAGTATTTGAAGTTTTGCTCATGTACTGCCACTGTTTTCTCTGTGTCACTTCAACAACAAGACAAAGCCTTATAGACAATGATCAACATGATCTCATTAGTTATTCAGTGGCTAGTCACCGGTTAGTAAATTATAGAATTGTAACAGCTTTGTGTCTTAACGTCATCATCATTATTATTGACATAACTAAATATTATTCTATTTAAACCATGGCAGCTGTAAGCTGTTGAAGCTAACATTAGTAGCACAGAGAAGCATCTTCATAAAGTTTAATTCAAGACTTAAAAAATAAATGCCTCGCTCAGGAACCATGTAAATATGTCCATTATGTACATGGTAGCTTAGCACTAGACAGTGTTAATTAGCCACAAATTATTCCAAAGAACTTTACATTCCTGAATTTCTTAACTACTATTAACTGCCATTAGCTTTCAACAGTGTTTATACGCATACGTCGGAGAGCTAACATTAGCTAACAAATCTCTGTTTGTTTTGGCCTGTTAAAGTTTGGTTTTGTCCGTGTGTAACTTTGATTGTAATTATCGATCTTTTCTTTTGTCAACCATTTTTCTCTCAACCCCTCCTTCCATTTTTTCAGGGTCCTCCTGGACGAGCCGGCTTTCCGGTAACTCTCTTTTTAACTTGTGTTTTGTTGTGTGTTTCCGTAGTGAGCAGTGTTTGTGTGATGGCTACGAACTGATTTCTCTTCTCTGTGTTGATTAGACGTGTTTATGAAAGTCAGAGGAAGTAAAAATGTAGTTTGTCCAAAATTTGACCTACTAATGTGTTTTATTGAATTGAATTTAAAACAAAACAAAATCGCCACATGATTTAGTAAGAAAAAGAAAAGCAGTTGATGAAGGTAGAAACCTGGTGATGCTTTGTTATTAACATCCAGGCTACTGATTAGTGTAACATTCATGACCTAAGATTGATGGCATCAGCTCAGATTTGACTGCAGTCTAAGCTGATGTAAAGTCATATCTGTAAAATATTTATTTATATATATATTTTTTTTTACCTAAAAAAAGACTTATCTTTATTTTGTGTGTGAATGTCTACCAGAGAGATCAGCTTTAACACCATCTTTTTAGCTTGACTGCTAACATTTTAACAAGCTAATAAGCTGTTGATTTAACATTGAGCTGTACTGTCTCCTTCACCTTTCACTATATGAAACCACTTTATTTATATATTACAGTATTTATATGAGAACAGGGAAATATAAAAATATGATTTTTTACCTGCAAAGCTGCTCATGACTGGTCTGATAAACAAGAACTGTAAGGGTATGATGGATGAAACATGAACATCTGTGCTTCACACACACACACACACACACATTAAAGTAAAATGCAGATCTAGATAATTATCTACAAATTCTTCAGGCAGATCGAAGAATAAAAACCCTAACCATAAACACCATCCTGAGATGTTTGCTGTTGTCTGGTACAAAACAACATTTTATTTCAGAATACTAAACCATCTGGTTGCAAAAATAAAGCTTTGGAAATTGGCTGAAACTTGTTCTGCTGTTTGCCAAAGAACGGAATGTAAATTTTAACAAAATGAGGTTTGACCCTGAATTATAAAGTCAACAATAATCACACATTCCAGAGGAAACACTTCCATAATTCTTCTTTCAAAAACCTGACATGATGCCGCTCAAATCACATGTTACAAATGTCACATCTTTTAAGTGGAACGTTGTTTGGCATCACTCCCTGTTGGAATTCTGTTCGACGTGGAGCGCACAGTTTGAGGAGAAACTTGTGTGAAAGCTTGTGAAAGCTTTGAGTTGGGTTCTGTGAAGGAAACTGTAAACTTTCACCTGGTGAACCACAGTTTACTCAACAACTAACTCTCACCACATCCTTAACCAGAACACGCTCATCTTCACACTTATTTCCTTAAATGTGTGATTTAATGAGTGAAATGAGTGTTTAAAACTCTTTGACTTTTGCAGCCATGCGAATAAGTAACTTGAGCATTTTGTCTGCGGAACACGAGCTCTGGGGTATTTGTGGCGTGGAAAAACAAAGTGTAACGTACAAACTTGGCAACAGTCTTTAAAGGTACAGCACGAGGAAAAGAGCAGCAACGATCCAGTTTCTGTAACACATAAATCGGCCCAGTATTTACAGAGCACTTGGTCCGGCTCTGGGCTGTAAAACTCTACTCAAGTGTAGGTTGTATTTTGCGGTTACAGCAAATAATCACGTTTGGCGTGTAAGCCCAGAGTTCTGGATTAAAAGTGTTTTGGTGCTGCCATTTCCCTCAAGGTCTTGCTCTAAATCAGAAGCTTGGATGAGGTTTCAAAGACCTCAGCTCCAGCCTGGTAGTATTTAAGTGCTTTGAAAATATGCCACACACACACTAATGACAGAGATGGTATCAAATCTGAGGCTCTGGCTCTGAACGCAGATCAATCCCAGGTCCAGTGTAAACAGAGGAGAAGCTGAAGGAACCGTATGAGCTGTGTTAGAATAGTCCTGCTGAGACTGGACTGAAAAGGTGTGTTAAAAGTACTGATACAACAAAGCAAGGAGAGCGCCATCAAGTGTTTTTTTTTTTGAGACACCAGAAATTAAATGGGAATCTTTTCTCCCCGAAGTTTTGGGACCACCAACAATCACAGGAACCATCAGAGTGTAGCTACCATCAGCCCCACCTCCTGATTGGTTGAAGAACTTGCAAAAATGAATGTCGCTTGCCATTTTTAAAATCCAATGCAGTACCTTGGCTGACTTTTTACATTTTTGTGTGAAGACTGGACCATGGAACTCCAAAGACAACATTTAAACAAATGTTTGAATTTGACTGTGATGGACGATGAGACTGTGAGGTGAAGTCAGAATACTGGGGTGTTTCATGTTGATGACACAGACGACATGTTTTTTTGTAGCTCATCTGATCGTATAACAATTCATATCTGTTTCAAACTTTTTCTTAACCCAGGCAGTTCTGGTCATTACCTCAGGAAACCTAACTTCAAAAGTTCAGAACTCTCCTTACCTTTTTGTATCCACCTGCTGTCCATCTGACTTTATCACAGATTCAACTGAGTTCAGGGTCTAAGTTAAGGTTCTCAGCACGAGCACAGAAACGCTCTGTGGTAAAAGTCGTAAACACTGAGCCACGGTTTGTGGTTTGGCTTTTTGGCATCTCCACTCTGCCATCAGGCAATGGCCTGATTGTATGTTGATAAAACCAGTTGTTATCATCAGGAGGAATATTTGGATATTTTCCTCGATATCAGAACATTTATAGTTTTTGCCTAACCTGTGGATGTTTCTCAGAACTCAAACCTAGATTTTACACTCTGTGGGCTCCACCTAATGGTCGTCACACACCATTTAACACATAGGAAGGTAATTACTTACCTGTTGTTAGGAGCAGCCTTATCTTAGCCAGCAGCAGAGGAACGAAGAAGAATGAACATCTTTAAATTGAGAAGATAAATATTAGTCCTTGTGACAGAATAGTTCTAGCCTTACCACCAGAACTCTCCAGAAACCATGAAAAGAACTGATTTTTGGTCCACTTTATCTCTAACCTAGATAGATAGAGATAGACTTAAATATACAGAGATTTTTTTTCAACATTTATTGTGCTAACCATTCATGTAGATAATTAGCCTTCTTGGTTTTGAGCCCTTGTCCCCCAGTGTTTGGTGTGGTTGAACTTTCCTCCCCCCCTGTGGTAGCATCATCTAATGCTTTTGTCTGGTTTAGCATTAGGGCATGGCATGAAGAACTGACCTGAATTTTAATACATCATCATCTAAAAGTGATACTGTGCCATGAGGACGTGCACAGTCCTTGTCCAGGTTAAACAAACAGTTAGCCTCAGTGAACAGTGTTGTGGCTACAGATCACGATGAATTCATACTGTTCTCTGTCTGACAATTTGACACATTGGGTTTACAGTTTCAAAGAAATTTTTTTTGAATGGTCTGAATGGCACAGTATCTCTTGAAGACCTGGTTCCAGTTTCCACTAACGTTCTGACTGACCCATGTTTCTCCTGAATTTGCACTGACCAATAGGGAGACAAAGGCAGTATGGGAGTTCCTGGCAGAATGGTGAGTGACTTGTGTTTTGTGTATGAAACAGTAACCCGTGACTTGTGTTTTGTGTATGAAACAGTGCTGTCACTTTGTCTCCAGGGGTAATACATCCAGTCCAACTTTGACTGAAAGATTTAGAATTAGAAATCCTTTCATTTGAAGTGAATTAAACTTGTCATCCTACAACTTTATTGATAGTATTTAGGATCTAATTTTAGTAGTAGTAAGTTTAGCCGTTTACCTTTCTGGGCTAACCACAAATATTTTTTTAGTAAATTCTTAAAAAAAGAGAAAAAATGTGAATCCATTGTTATGTGGGACCTGAATTATTGCTAAATTCTTACTTTTTGTTAGGTATGTTTAAGCTACTTTTCCATGGAATTTTGTCCAGGTAATTTAATTTAGCTGAGCTGTTTTTAGGCAAGTTGGTGATTTGAATGTTTCTTTTATAAACATCACCACACTGTCAAATGTCCCTGACAAGAGTCTTTTAATTTGAAGGCCAATAATTACATGGTGACCTGAGCAAACGTTCCTTCAGAGAGTATTATTACAGTAATGACAAATAACAACAACGGTCGATCCTGCCTTCAAACACACCGTGATGTTAGCATCAAATTGGTGACTGTACCACAGAAACAGCAGGGTTCTGTTCCACTGAATCATTTATTACTAAATCTTCCCACCTCCAGTGCAGTCTGTAATTTACAGCCTGCCACCCAATTCATTTCTGAACCATTCTTTTTTACTTTTCCGTGCATCTGAAACACTGTCAGCCGTCACCACATCAGGATAATCTGTAAAACATGGTGCGTTGACTGGTGTTGCAGTGTGGTCTCCATGACTTATAGGCCTCTCACACAGCCAAGGATGTTTGACTGCATGAAAACAAGGCTCAGTTATAGGACCATGGTTTCAATATCAGAACACCGAGAGTGAAGGGTTCAGTAACAGATGTCAGTTCATTAGAGCCATCCAGGTCTGGGAGTCTGTTGTTATTAACAGATTATTATTATAAGATGTTAGAAACCGTTTGAAAAATAATGAATGTTATGTAATAAATAATGTAAATTTAAATTAATGTTAGTTTGTTTTTTTAACTGGAAACCAAAGAATGTTTAGTTTCATTGAATAATTATGCCACTACTGTAAAGTTCATAGATAAAGTCATAGTCTTTGACTCACAGGCACACAGCTCTGCTGCCTCGTGTGGTCATATTGTGCCACTGCTATAGATGCAAACTTTTTTTTTAAACAATTATCAACATAAAGAATCCCATTAAATTATGCAGCAATTTTTGTGTGCTCAGATGTAAAAACAAACAAATAAATAAATGCATTTATATTTAGACAATTAAGTTAAGATTCCTAGAAACTTAAGTCTTTATTCAAATATTTGGGGTCATAGTCTTACTTTGAATTCCAGTGTGAAATGTTTTGATTTGTTTTGAGGCGTTAAATTCAGCCCTGATCAGAGATTCGCTGTAGTGTTAAACACACAGCATCACATCCTGTGACTCTGAGAGTCCTGTAAGTGTGAACCCACCCTGATTCCCATGTTACTCATACAAACCTGAATACTAGCCCCCTGACTCAGACCCTTCCCCATCATTAGTCCTGGCAGATGTTGCATGTCCTGAACCATCTCCATGACTCTAACCCTGCTCCCCCCCCCTCTCTCTCTCTCCCACTCTTGTGCCTCTGCTGTCTTTTTGCCCCTCCCCTCCGCCCCCCATCCCCTCACACCTTCTTGCATGCTTCTGTTTCTGCTGTGACTGATCTCAGGGCTTGAAAGGACAAGCAGGGGAGAAGGTAAGTTTAGAAGGAGAACTTTGCACAACTAAAGGTCACATACGTTGGATTTCTTTTGTTCAGAGAAACATTTCTGCTGTCGACTCACCCAAACTCTGTATAAGACATGGACATAGAGTAAAATTAAAAGACCCAAACCGTTAATGTTTGTAGGTGTTGACGGGCCATGCAGTGAGGGGAGATTTAGGTCAGATTTACGTCAAAGACACAAAATGACCACATGGGGCAGTAGTAGTCCAGCAGCTCCTGCACATAAGATGGTGAGAAAAGTTGTTAATTTTTCTTATGGACTGTTGTGTGAGATGGTGATCAGTAGACAGAGCGACACAAACCTGAGTGGTAAATACGTACGTGGTGAGTGATGGACAGCACGTCTGTTTGATGCTAGTTTTAGCAGCGGAGGCTCAGGAGGTCTGGACACAGATCAAGCAGTTCTAACTTTAACTTTACAGACTGTAAAACAACATTTCATTCTCTGCTCATCTTGGTTCCTCAGTGACTTTGTTCAACGTTTGACACAGTTCATCTGCATTTGCTCAGGAACTCGGTCCTCATCAGTCCTGACACCATTTCAAACAAAGGGGAAGTCATGTTGGCGTTGCCAAACACCAACTGGAACCTCACCCCGTCCAGTTCTTGATACTGTTTGATGACCTTTGTTACTGTTTGCTGTTCATCCTGATTTGGATGAGTTTTAGAGCGACTTATAAAAAGGGTTGTGTCATATGAGAGGCTGCGGAGATGCTGGGCGTTATCATTGGTGCAGCTTTGTGTGTGTGTGTGTGTGTGTGTATCTGCCGCTTACGTGTGATTTATATCAGGAAGTCTGGTCTGTATTTTTAAAGCAGCATCAGGATCACATTCTATAAATGGTTTCCCACCCTGGTTGGATTACCTGCACTCTTTACTCACTGAAACACAATAGCAACAATTTGTCACAAAAGTGTCTAATTTAGGGCTCCCCAAAGGAAGAGCAGGGACAGGTTTATTGAGGCCACGGCATCAGGACACAAGGAGAGTTTGAAAGTTAACAGCGTTGATGGAGACAAATAACTGTGTCCTGACCACAGTGAAAACCTCAGCCCTCTGTGACACTGAATTTTGTACTGTATAAATACCAGCTGACAGACAGCAGGGTAAAAGGCAGATATGGGCCTGAAGGTGAAAATGGAATTTGACTGGAGGTTTATTGTAGCTGCAGGCGATTTAACTTCATAAAGTGCAAAAATAAATCTGCCAGTGTTGTCAGGGCGTGGACAGAACAATCTTTTATTCACATCACTGTGAACAGACTCTGCCCTCAGAGACTCTGGGTTGAACTGAATGGACTTGTGGGAAATGAGTGTAGACCAGTTCAGACGTGTGGCTTTCCCTCAGTTGACTTCACTGAGGAAGTGTTCAAACCAGAGTGAGAAAAGATCCAACTTTTATGAAAAGAATGACCTTGAAATGTTTGAACTTTTATTTATTGTCCCTGTAAAATAATTGGTAGAATTTTCAAAACTTGTGTATGAAAATCATCATCTCAACCTCTGTAAAAAACAACTTTAGTGGTTTGGCTAAAGTTTAAAGATTTGTCAATAAAAGCTTAACATTAGTGAATAGGAATTTTTTTTTAAAAAAAGCCTCAAACTTTGACACAAAAACTGAAAAAAATCATAAAAAGCTAAAATAAAAATAAAATTCTCAATTTAGACCAGAAACAACAAAAATGTCAGTTTAAATAGTAATGATTCTTTCAAACTATCATTAAGGAACAACCGTCTCAGTTGTTGTAGTAGTTAAAGTAGTTTGAAATGTCAGATTTTGTAATTCCACTTCCTGCTGCTGCTGCTTACAGCTTGAAGGAAAAGCATGGATGTGATAACCTTCATAAAAAACACAGAAATTAAAACGAGTAAATCTTAACTTTTTCTCTTTTGGTCCACAGGGAGCGCCAGGAGAACCAGGTCTGTCCATCATCGGGCCAAGAGGACCTCCTGTAAGTATTTTATACTTCTTCATCTCGTTCTAACCAATCGTCACAGTAACTAAACATGTGGTTGAGGCTCCAGTGTCTGTGGGCTGTAGGATGGCATCACAGTTGAATCCAGCCCAACCAGATTCCTGGTTCCAGTCAGTTGTCCCTGCAGCTCTACTTCAGTTTCATCACAAATTATTATTATTATTACATTAGTATTTTCAATGAATCCCTGCTTTAGACGTCAAGTCCTCAGACACTGACGGCTCTTTGTGATGAACCAGACGATTCTTCTCTCCAGATTGAAGGGATTTCAGGGTTCAGGCCTAAAATAAACCTTCTTCAATGAAGGCTGTCGGATTTTCACCACAAATTATAGAATAATAGTCTTTTTTTACAGACTGTGTGGAGACAGCAGCAGTGGTCAGCAGTCATTAGACCCTCATTAGTCTGGGCTGTTTTATCAAGAAGTAAAAGGAGAAACCTCATCCTGGTCCAGATGGGTCAGTGTTTGTCCACCAGGTTGTCAGTTTGACTCTGATTTAAACCTAAATGACCTGGAGGATCAACCTGGGGATTTTCTTCTTCTTTTTCTCCCCTTTTAATTTCAATAAAGCCCTAAAAGTGACATAATTCACCCAGAGGAGAGTGTCCCCCTAAATGGGCCACATCTGCTTCTGTAATTGATGCCTATTACCGTGGGTACCTGTGTGTGCCTGTGTGTACCCACGCTTCCTGGATGGTGAAAGGCAGTCCTAATGAGGAACAGCAGAGGGGAGGGCAATGGGGGAAGGGGTGTCACCAGTAGGAGTCAATGTCTTAAACTAAGAAGAGTCAGTAAAAACATTAAGAAACAGTCAAGGAGGGTTAAAGGTCACCAGAGAAAACATTGAATTGTTTGACAGCCCAGCAATATTATTTTAATAGTTTAATTTTCAAATAGTGGTGCTTTGGTCCAGAGGCAATGTCTCTGTCATTGGTGTGAAACCCCAGGGTTCACCTCCTGGGCAAGATCAAATCCCGGTAAGGGCGGTTGGTACCTTCCAGTGGACTCACCATCTGCAGGAAGGTTCAGGGGGGTTGGTACGGTGCAGTGTGATCTGGGTGGCGGTCATAGAGACCGCTGCCCCCATGACCCGTTAAAGGATAAGCGAATGAAAATGGATGGATGATGGATGGAATTTTCAAATATTCATAAAATTTTGCATTAAAAAACAACATCATTGTATACCAACCTTTCATACCTAACTTATTTTTTTTTTGCTTCTCTCCAGGGACAACCTGGAACAAGAGGGTTTCCAGGCTTTCCAGTAAGTTCCCCTCCCACCACACTCCTCTTCTGTTTCCTTCTGCTCACCTGCGTCATCACAGTCCTGTAGACTCTAAAAAGATCTCCCTCTCTGTTTTCATCCCAGGGTCCGATTGGCTTGGACGGGAAACCTGTGAGTTTTCCTCTGGATTCAAAAATTCTAAAATCTGAGCATTCTTTCAGCATCCAGACCTCTGTGGTCAGCAGATGTAATGAGCAATAATTCAGCTAGGAATAATGATGCTTATGATTGTAATAAAATCTCTATTACTGTCATTAGGTTCATTATAGCAGGGCATACGGCTCACTCAGAGGGTCTCCAAGAAAATAACAGCAACGATCAATCAGCTGAGATCAATCAATGATTAAATCAATCAGCTGAGATTAATCAATAATTAAATCAATCAGCTGAGATTACTGAAGTCACTTAATCTGCTTTTCATTCACTGCTTTATGTTTAAACAGGGACAAAACGGACCGAAGGGAGACTTGGTGAGGATTTTTTGATTTGCTTTACATTAATGTCAACACTGAACGCCTCTTTGAACACTCCATGACTTAATTGTGAGATTTAATTTAAGCCCATCTGACAAAACCTGTCATTTGGCCCATTTATCCCAATAAATGACTTTTCCCACAATTACTTTTCTGAATATCTCGCCTTAGAGTTTCAGTTTAAACTGGATTTTCTCTCCAGCTTTTTGTTAGATTAACCGCTCTGTCTGGTATAACACATGACCATGAAAATGTGGCCTGTATATCCATAAGTGGACAAGATCATTGTATATAGTATATTAGTATCAGGATTTAAATCCAAGAAAAGGCGAAAAAAAAAGCCAACATTTTTTTGATCAATTCACTATAGGACCTACATAATGGGACCCACATATTCCTGACCCACATTTAAAATGTGTCAGTATGTCAGTAACACAAACTGACCACACAAGGCAGTATTTCAATGTTGAGCTTTATATTGACTGCTCTGATGCTGTGTTTTAGGGTCAGCGCGGTCTTAAAGGACAGCCAGTAAGTGTCCCATGGTCTGAACTCATCAACATTTTTAACTCATCAACCAAATTGTCGAATACTGACATTGACATTTTTCAACTTAGGGTGAACCTGGACCTAAAGGAGAGAAGGTGAGACATATATTTTATCTAAAAAATAACTTGAATTGTTTGATTTAAGTTCTAAGATATTTAATTTTTAATGAATCAATTCTTGACATGAGGTTTAAAAACATCCAATATATTTCAGAATAAATTTGCAAATAATCTTTCACATTTTCTGTGTCCAGTTTTGACCAAGTCCGTTTTTCCTTTTCTCTGCAGGGCGTATGTGGTGATTACACCCATCGGGTAAGAAAGCATTTACTGTATGTGGAAAACCGATGTTTAAAAAAAAATCTTCTGTTTCTGCTAAAGTGTTAAGAACTGTCTGGTCAACATCTCAAATATTTGAAAGGTTCTTGGACCTTTTTTTATGAAATTGAACTTCTAATCTGCTTAACTGTCCTCCCACAGCAGTAAACAGTGGTTTGTTGTGTCAGAAACTGCCTCTGATATGAGGGGATTTTCAAACAACATAAAAAAAAAACTAACTCAAATTGCACCCTTAGAGGGTGTGCTGAAAGTCTTCCTTTTTGTGCAGAGGTTGGTTAAACCTGTGGCTCCAAATCATCTCCCTTTGTTGCTACAATCCTGATGAGAACATTACAGAGAGTTTCACTGGACCAGAGGAAGAGTTCTACAAATGTCAGTTGATGGGTTGCACATGCAGAAATCTGTAGCTGTTTGGCTTCGGGCTTGAAGTCGTTAAAGAAAAAAAACAGAGAGCAGCTAATAACAACTAATTACCAGCAGCTAACGGTCCCGACATGATAAGAGCCGGCGGTGTGTAGCGCTGCCAGGAATGAGTCTCCTGTGATTTTTCAGATAGCTGAGTCCATTTCCAGTGTAATTCTACCTTTCAGTTATTAAACCACTGCAGTTATTATCAGCCCCCCCTCCCTGAAAATAACAACACTGAGTGTTTTCATGAGCTTTTATTAGTAAAGCATCATGTGATACAGATCTCTGTACAGGAAAAAGGCCTCAGGTCTGAGCAGCTTCTGAAAAAGGAGAGCGAGGAAGGGGGAGGGAGGGTATGTGTGTCATATTTGTTTTTAATATGCTTGTCTTCCTCCTCCTCCCCAGTGGCTCGTTGCAGCAGTATGTACAGGCGGTCCATACAGTGTAAACCCACTAGGGGGCGTTTAGGAGAGGGTGGTTAGGGTTAGTTGAGTTGAGTTTTCAAGCTAAAATATCCACAATAATTGGCATTAGGAGCGTTCTTTATAGCAAAACAGTTAGTTAGTGTTTGCCAGGTGAAAGGGTTGGTAAAGCTAGGCTAAGGTGAGGGAATCTAATTATTAGCATTGGTTCAGCTTCATATCATGTGTCTTTTGGAACAGCACTTGTGTGTGAAGCTTACAGGACACACATAGAAGCTTCAAAGGACGGGACCGTTCTATTGTATAAGTAATCGAGGAGCGTCAGAGAAGTATCTGAAGGTGGTTCAGGTCATTTATGGTCATGATTCAGTGTGAAGGATTTAGTGGCATCCAGTGGTAAGCTGGCAGAATGCAACATGTTAATGATTGTTAATTGTTAATGAAAAGTCAGAATTGGGTTTTGAGTGCTACTTCTGCCGTCATGTCCGCCACTATCTTTCACACTGGACCTGTGTCGTAGGGTCTCAGCTGTGGTGTGGCTGCTTTATGGTTGGATTCCAGCTCTAACTGTAATGACCACTCCCCTGCTGTGTAGGAAAATTTTGTGCAGGACCTTCCTCTGAAAACCCTGGCGGCCTTACGCTCCACTCATTCTCTGATGTTAAAGGTTTGTGGGTGAAGAAACAAAAACCCTCAGCTGGGGTGTCACCAAGTCGTGCCGCAAAGAGAGCCAGCATTCTTGAGCCAAGGCTCGCCTCCACTATCTCCTCTCCACCCAGTATAATAGAAGAAATACATTGCCCATGTGCTAAAAATTATTGGAAAAAACTGCTATTAATTAAATACCCTTCGTGTTTTTGTTTTTGTTTTTAAATTGGACCCAATGGAACCTAGTGTTTTTTATATTTAAAATGTTTATTTAAAAAAAGACTTTATTTTAGAAGCAAAAGTTCTTTATCACGATTATCATGATATTGTCAAAATACTTATAAAATAATTATTAAAATTAATGATTTATCTAACCGTAATTTTAAAAACGCTTTGAAGCAAAGTGTTGTATTTTCAAAAATCTTTTTGCACATACTTTCCCATATAATGTTGGCATATCTTGGCTCTTGCTCTGATCCATTTTAAAAACTGTGTTTCTGTGGTGGACAGTGGGAACGGCGAGGGATGAAGCAGAAAACTTGCCTACTTTTACTGCAACATTTACTCATAACCTACAGTACATATTTCCATAGATATTATTTGATTTGAGGATTAAAATAATTTGGAATGTATATTGCAAATAGACTATTTATTAGAAATGGACTTGGACATTGATTTCGTAGATAGGTCAAAGATGTTCAGTGGAAGCAGTCAAGTTACAAAAAGGTTAGCTACTATAGGCTAAGTTATATAGTTGGTCTCATCATGTGAGTAGAGATTTTCTTTTGTTTTCTGATAATACGTTCCTTTCCAGTCAGACTGTATGCAGATGACACCTGCATTTATTGCATAGCTTAATGTCTGGGAAGAGTGATGAACAAGTCAAGAGGTTCTCCTCTGGTCATTTTACAACAACAACCATTTCAAGTCCATTTCTCATATACAGTCCATGAATTGAATAGTTGTGTGTTTTTAGGTTTTTCATTTAATGATATCTGACCTTTTAAAGTAAGAGTTATGGAAATATGTATGTTAAGTGGTGAAGTAGGCAAGTTACATGCTGCTGGTTCTACTTGGTGTCTGTGAGGGAAGATTGTTAGGTTGCTGAAGGCAGTGTTTCTGTGGTGGTGGGCGGAGCCTCACCTTTACTGCCTTCTCCTAAACCTGATTATGATTATGCTGGTCATTTCAACAGAAGCGACGTATTGTACAGCCCTGTGTTGGACAGTTGGCCACAGTAAGTGCTGGATGTGTTTAAACTCTATACTGCCCTCTATTGTTACTCTCTTTGTGGCAAGACATGGCGTCCACCTCTGCTCCGCTGCAATCTAAGGGCCTGGTTCTAGGTCAGATCGCTGACTTTGAATGTGAGCAGTACAAAATTTGAACACATTCATGTCTTTTCTGACCAGAGAAGGGCATTAGGAACTATCAAACCTCTCTATCTTCTTCCAGGCCCATAGTTTGCCATGCTGCTGCCTCTATTTTCTTCTTTTTGTGGACCTTTTCAACTTTGCCTGTTTTCCCTTTTTCTTGCCTTTCACTCTCATGTTCTATTTCTCTTTTTTTCTTTTCCTACCTCCATCACTGCCCTGTTTCCTTCTATCTGGCCTCCTGACACCCGGCGGTGGCCACCTGTGCTTTGTGACTCTCTCTTCTCCTCTCCCCTCCTCACCCCCACCTGGCAGATGTTGCCCATCACCGTGCGAAACATGCCCTCAATAAGCCCTCTAATCCTAAAACGCCTCAAGGTACAATTCTCTCTCTCCCTCTGTCTTAGCCTTTACTCCTTCTGCTCTCTGTCTCCGCCCTGTGGATGCTGACCGCCGTCACCTGTCGCCAACATCCCCACCCCTTATTGTTGCTGCCAATAACCAAAGTTTGGCTTCTGCTGCTTTATATCGTCAGTTTTACTGAAGTACAAACAAAGCAAAAACACACACTGTTAAAACTCTGTTAAAAGTGTAATAAATGTTTAATATAATATGTTTATTAAAGGAATTATTTAGTGCTTTTGCAGAAATTACAAACTGACATTAAAAATAAGTAAATCCACTTAATATTAGAATTGTTTTGGAGAATTTAAATAATGCCAAAGAACATTTTTAGTTTTGTATAAAACAGAGAGAAAATATTGTTTTCTCAAACTTGTCTTTTAAAACATGTCTTAAATGTATTATGGTTTTATAAATTAGGTCCCTAAACCCTTTATCTTATAAAACTAAATAAATATTTGAAGTAATTTTAATTTGGGAGGGGAGGGGGTGAGGGTCTGTTCAGTGTTGGCAGGACTTTCTTTGGGCAGACAAAAACCACATTGACTTATTTGGATATCACACTGTTTGTAGACCTGGATCAGATCACAAATGGCTGCTGACCCTAAAACACTGAGTTTTGGACGCTGGCATGAGGGGGTTTGGTGCTGCATTAGACCAGGAGACTTCTGGGCTGTGTGACATTGATAGATGCAACCATTAAATGTAGATGTTTGTTCTTAAAAACTGAAAAAGACAAGTTCCAGACTCAAAGACCTGGGCCAATGAGGGATTTTCAAATATCAGAATTTTGAAAATGATCCAACCTGAAAAGATAAAAATCTGTTACCTGTACCTGTAAATAAAGGAATCAGACAAACTAGTGAAAACATCTTGTCAGTGGAATTTGTAATGACAGAACCTAGAACCAAAAATTCATACAAAACTGAACTGTTTTAATTTTGGAAATATTCAGAAAAATAATAATAAACAATCACAGATATTGACCCTTCAACCCATCACTTTAAACATTAAAACATCACAAATTTCCAAGTCACCTAAAGTTTACCAATAATACATCAGAAAATTGCTTTTACTTTATCATAATTATAAAAATTGTCAAGGAGTTTTCCAAATGGGGGCTGAGTTAGGTTAATTGTAGCACCATACTTTATGACCTTTAAGAGAAAAAAAAGGTGCAAACATGAAGGGACATAAATCATGTATGTGAACATAACAACACGCCATAAATCATATGATGGAGTATGGAGCTAATGGAGATGGAAACTTTCAGAACAGGAGTTTGGCAGAAACCTTTGCTCCTGTGGTGGTTTTGAGTTTTGAGGTGGTTTTCTCGTGTCTAAACTGGAGTAGAAGTGAAAATAAACCACACTGCTTTAGCTGTAAACCCTCATCACTCAGGCTGAGGAGGCAGGTTATAATTTATATCATCAATGTTAAACACTTAACAAATGCAGAATGCAAACACCTAGAATTGCTAATTGCTAAAGTTAGCTCAGAGGCTAAGTCCTGAGAGATGGCACAAAGTTTATTAAAACACATAAAAAACATTTTTACAAAATTTGTCAAAATATATTAAATAATAAGTTAACAAACATGCTCCAAGCTACTACAAGTTACTTCATAAATGCTTTATACTGTAAAAGGAAGAAACAGTTAGCTCTGACGAAGCTAATATTGAGAAAGGGCAGTGCAGGGTTAGTGCAGAACCATGGAAAAGAAACTATAAAGTAAATTGCAAATAAATAAATAATAACTGTAAACTATTTTGAACAATTGTTGTATTTCATACATTAGAATTTGAATGCTTATACAAACTAAAATAGCCAATCTGCTGAAAACAGAAAACTGACTTCCTGTTTCACCAAAATAAAAGCGTGGACCAGGAAATGTGTGAAAACCACCGGGAGACTAAGGAATTTCAGCAGATGTTGTTAAACTGAAGTTCTTAATTTAATTTTTTGACGTAAGTTTACTCCGTTCTTTTCCCCTTTTCCATTTACTTCCCTTGGTTTTGTTTAGTCTGGTCTTTGGTCTGGCACTGGTCTTCATTCTCAGATCAGCTGTTGATCTTCATGAAGCTGCAGGAGATCCAGACTAAAAATAAATGATCACGACTGTCTGTGGTCACAAGACGCCACAGTATGAAAAAAGAAAAAGTAAAAAAAAAAAAAAAAAAGGTCTCATAGAACACAATGTTAAGATTTAAATTTGTGCTGAAGCTTGAAAACCACTCGAGTTTCTTCGCCTCTAACCTTCCTCTTTGCACCACCTCCATCTTTACTGCTGCACTGTGTTTAGTGTCGTTGATGTTGTTGTGTTAGCATGAGCAGTGTGCGATGATGCTGTTTCCACCAAAGCAGGTTTTAACTCTTGGCTTTTCAGCAGGGCGAGCCTGGAGCGCAAGGACCCCCTGGGCCTCCAGGTCCTCCAGGACCGTCAGGAAACCCAGGATTAAGTGGATCACCGGTGGGTTTTAGTCAAACTTGAGAGTTTTATTAGAGCATAAATTGAAGTTAAAAGGAAATGTTACTTCTGAAGACTTTTTTCATGGCAAGCTAGTCTATATTGCAAAATAATGCAATACAATGTGTTCCCACGCCAATTAGCTCTAATAGTTAGCCTCAGACTAGTAGCCTCAGGACAGGTTTGGGAGTGCAAGCCTGATTTTTTTTACTGTAAACATTTTTCTTTATTGTTCACATATTTGTAGATGATGTTTGATGTTGATCAACTGTTGCTCCTTTCACACAGGGTAAACCAGGTGAACCAGGGAAACCTGGAAAAGATCCCAGGGTAAGTCTGGTTCTCCTCAACATTTCTGCATACAGACTTTTGTGACCAGAAATAATTTCAACACAACTATGAAAATTTGACAATTCTTTGAGTTAATTATTATTGATTTTGCTTTATGTGGCTAACCCTAACTAATAGTTGTATTGCCTTTGGTTTTTAGCCATTTTTGTACTTATTTGTGCCTAATTTATTAGTTTATTTAACCTTGAGCACCTTGAGCAAAATAGCTTATTATTTTTTTTAAGTAAAGAAAAAATATTTGTTGGTTTAACCAAATCGTTTTCCTTCACCCTGAACCTAATTATTAGTTACAGTTTGTTGCGTGACATTTACCTGCTGCCTCCCAACCCTCCTCCTTTCCTTTCTCTTTCTCTGTTGTTGCTGCAGCTTTTACCCGGACTGAAGGTAAACACATTTCTCTTCTTGTCCAAACAGTGAAATTACAGGCGGGACAAATAGTCGAATAGTAGAATCCAGAGTTATTACGCGCACATTTTACGCTAAGGCCCAAATAAAACAAACAAGAACCAGGGGCAGTGAAGTCATAGTGTTGTCGGTGGGTCTGTGCACAGCTGCTGAGAACTTCAGAGCAGACTCTGAACAACTTTGACAATAAGATCACTGTTGATATCTACTCAGCTGATCTGAATATTATGATGCATCCTCTTCTACAGACCAGTGTAGATGCTAAGATTCCAGAATCACTTTTACAGATGTCACACCTGGTATCTAGTGTTGAAACAAATCTGGTTTGGTACCTTAATGACTGATAACTTTTATTTACAAAACTTCATAGAGAAAATGAGCATGTGTAGTTCACAGGTATTTGGCATTTGCTGGTCCTCTGCTGCCCATGATGTCATATTTTCTCCCGAAATAAGTGGGACCCCAGTAAGGGACCTATTGTAGAGAGCAACACAAAGTTCATTCATTGTTTATGGTCCCTTATTCAGAGTCAGTGACGTGCTGTATCTGCTGTAGCTCACTGTAGTACTGTAGTCTGTAACAGACTTCAGAAGAACACAGGTCACAAATCAAAGACCAGTCAGCAAACTTCCTGCAGCTCTCTGTTCACGTGTGTCTCCATGTTGATGTGACAGTGGCTGCATTTTTACTTACTGTGTGTTTGTTTCTCCAGGGTGAGCCTGGAGTTCCAGGACAGAAGGTGAGCTCCCTCCTGGCTGTGTCCTTTGTAAAATGAGCAGTAGTACAGCAGTTAGAGCTTGAACAGATTGATGAGATGAAACATTTATCTCAGGAAAAAAGGCTGTCGTTCACATCATCCTCTAAGTCCCATTTTTTGCTACAACAAAGAAATGACCATGGAGTGTATATCCTGAGGTGAGGAGGAACAGATTTATCCTTATCTTTCAAGTGTCTGCGGGAGTTAAAGTAGATGCAGGAGGAAGTTGTATTTTATTTCATTTGACTTCACTATCACAGAAACCATGTTACAGGTTATAGAATGACTGGAGGTCACACAGTGATGTTCTGTTGAATATGTTTTTTAGTCTGACATATTTCATGTCAACACTGGGTAAAAAACAGAACATCTACTGAAGACGTGCTAGGTGTTCTCTTTGTCTGGTGAAACAAGCTGCCTGAGTTTAAATGTAGTCGTGTATCAACAACTTGGACTCTTGTGGTTAAGTCCCTGTTTAAAGACAATTTTATATCCCTTGTCCGGAATTCTACCTTTCACGATCAAGACAAGAAAATTCAAAAACAAATCATGTCCTAAGTGGTCTAGTAAATGTAGTACCTCTGTTTCTCCACAGGGTGACCGAGGAGACGTTGGCCTGCCAGGTCCCCTGGGGTCAAAGGTAAGTCTGTTCAGTTGATATTAGTTTGGTCTTCCCCCCACTGGGCAGAAAAACCCCAGCACCTTATAATGTTTAAGTTCTGTGACAAAGAGTGTTCCTCTAAATAGGATCAGTTTTTACTGAATTGACATCAGTACTTTTGATGACCTGAAGCTAGTGACTAAAACTGCACTCTCTTCAGCATAACTGTTTATATTACATTGGCTGTAGAATGGCCTCATCCGTTATTGGCAAGAACCTCCGTTGTTTTCCAGCGTCCTCTGTTATTATTTTTTTGTTTTGTTTTATTTGAGGTTTGGAGTTTGTTATTCTGTTTAGAGATAACGTCATATAAATCCAGAGGCTGCGACTTCACAAAAGGAAACATCTGCTGCCACATTTATGGTTTTGGCATTTAATCCGTGGAAAGTGTTTGTTGATTTATTGCATAATATTCCCAGAGATGTACACAGAACACACACACACACACACACACACACACTGGGGACATGACAGCAGATGTAACCTTGGCTTTGAAGTCGCAGGGTCAGAATGAGCCTCTCCACGTGCTCGCCCTCCCCTAACCCCCCGCTTTTCCATCAATGGCTTAAGTGACTTCCTCTGGAGAACACACACACAGACACACATACACACACACACACACACACACACACACATACACACATACACATAGAAGCATGCACAAACAACTGTTGCTGTGCGCTAATCCAGGCTGTTCTGTGGCATCATTAGAGATCAGAGAGGTTTCAGTGAAACATCTTGTCCAGCCTGGATCTAAATGATGATCTAATGACCTTCAAATAAACACTGCTCTTCATCTTCAAAGTCACCACACTGAACAGTTTACCAACAGTTTATGTATTTTTAAGAGAAAAAAAACCTACAACATTTAAATATTAACTTAGCTTTTCTTGAATATTAAACATACACAGAGTCTTGAGTCCAAGAATCAAGGTTGACATTCTTGGCCTTGACCTTTGCCCTGAACTTGACCTTTTATTCACAGCTTTGTGTTTTTATGACGCTCACAACAAAACATTAAAGAAAAAATAATAAAACAGAAACAGGAAACTGCTTTGATTTCAGAGCAGGTGTGATTGAAGTTTGTTTGACATTTTACAAGCCACTCATTTGTACAGAAGCTTCCAGTAACCTGGTCTTTGGACCAATCAGAAACACTGGTCTCTGTGTAAACTCTGAAAGGACACAGTGTTTTCCTCTCTGACCTTTTCACCACGTACAGCCACACAGTTTATATTCCTTCAGCTTCAGACCCAGCTGCTGATTGGTCAGCTCTCACAGGACATGTGAAATATATTTCCTATGTATATTAGACATTATCCTGCGTGAACTTGATCTTTTATCCTGCTGCTAAAAAAGTCCTTTTCAACCTGGAAAATCCATCGTTTTCTTTTCTAATGTGTCATTAATTCAGACTGATGTTTTCTTGTACATTTTTAAGTACTTTATTTAAAGAAGGCAGTAACTCAGCAGCTGAATAACCAGTCATTTGACAGGAGAGTCAATATTAGACTTGGCCACTTGGAAAGAAACAAGTCCAAATGGATGCCTTCATTTTCCTCTGTGTCTGCTCACAGCGCCACCATGCGGTGATGACAGGAGATGTTCTGTATCGTCCCTTAACACATCATCATTGGGTTTTTTTGTCCATCAATACAACAGCAATACCAGCACTGTGGAAAGACAAGAAATTAAGCTCAAACAAACCTTAATCTAAAGGTGTCTCCCTCTAGTGGCGTTTTCTACTTCTGTTATTATTAGTTGTTGACTGTGAAGATCATAATGTAGATGAATATATCCACCCTCTCTTAGAAAAGCCACGTCAAAGTAACATTCTAGTTCCAATAATCTTGCTGGTCATTAGTAGAATTGCATATTCTAATTATTAATAGGTCTAAAAATATGGTTTTCTCTGTTTGCGCCATAATGCGTTTATTTATTTATTTTTTCAATTTTTTGTTTTTTTAGGGAGACAAAGGAGACCAGGGCGTTGAGGTAAGATTTAAAACTTCACTGTTGTTGCTTCCCTTTTTTTTTATATGTGCAACTCTGATATATATTCAAGCTGCATAGAGACCTTCCTCCTGTAAATACGCAGTTCTTTCACAAATGCTTTTTATTCATTAGGAATGATGTAAACATTTGATCCGAAATAGATATTAATACTAGAGTGCAAACATTGTCACCACATTTTACCGACTGACCATTAAAATAAAATAAAAAATAACAGTCACTGTAAAAGAAAAATCTGACAGAAAACAGTAAAAATAACCAGAAAACATAAACTGAAGTCACCAACAGTAACTCTGCCTTAGACATTTTTAGAGGCTCATAGACCAGTCAGTACTGACTGTCTGAGCTGCTCCTCTGTCCATCTTCCATCTGTAGGGAGTTGAAGGAAAGAGAGGCTTCCCTGGAGAGAGAGGCCAGAAGGTAGAGCAACAATGTTTTTGTGTGTGTGTGTGGCATGTCAAGGTCTGTTTATGTTTGGCGATGAGATCATAGATGTCTAGATAAGTGAGATTTAACTGGGGTTTAAATTTAGCTGCAGCTGCTTCCTTTTTTTTTTCTTCTAACATGAATGACTTGATCACATTCATGAAATCCTCTGTGGGATTTCATGAACGTGATCAAGTCTGTTACTGAGTGTTGTTTTATTCCAGTGGAGATGCTGCAAAAAGGAGAAAAAAAATTTGAAAAATTTAGTAACTTTTAGCAATTTTATTTTTTAAATAAACTGTTGAATACCTTAGGACCTGCAGGATTTCCTAAGAATATATTTGATGACTTAACTCCGTGTCAGATGCCATTCTCCGACTGAAGGTTAAATCGTTCTGTGGCGTTTGTCATTACATCTCCTGCACCAAAGTTCACATAGAAATGTTACCATTTTCTGTAGACAGTCAACCTGCAGTTGGACCTGCAGCTTTAACAACAACTTCATCACAGCATTCAAATGTCTGTACTTGTGACCATGCGGTTTGAACTCTTTAAATGAATGATGCTGTGCAACTCAAATAAACCACAATAATCCAGAATAGACCAGCAGCTTCAATGTTCACAGCCACTAAAATTATCAGTTTTCTCTATGAGTTTTGGTGTAAAAAAATATCTTTCAAAACAGGTTTTGACTTTAAATGTACACACATAAACTACAAATAAAACAACTTAAAACAACCAAACAGAAAATAATAAAATCATCTTGAGAATGTTACATATACAGTATATTCTTACATTGATTATAATCAATTATTTTCATTTTAATGTTACTCAAATCCATCATGTGCAGATACAACACCAAACTCCTTCTCTGTGGCTTTAATCAGTGCAGTTCATATCTTCCATCTAACTGTGGTGACACCTCAGGTGATCCTGTTGACCTAAAGCAGCAGCAGACCTTCTTTCTTCATAGCATAGCAGCAGCAGCAGCAGCAGCAGCAGCAGCAAAGTGTTCTCTGTGTGTGTTTTCTTCATTAACTCTCACAGATGGGAAAGAAAAAAAGAAGAAAAATCCAAATCAGTAAAAAAACTTCAAGGAAAGTGCATTCTTGTTGGTATCCACAGGAAATAGTGATGTGGAAACGGAACTTTATTGTTAAATAATAAAGACAAATGGCTTTAGCAGAGGCCGTTGCCGCATAGTGAGGGTACAGTATGTGGAGCCTGTGGCCTCGGTCCAAAACCAGGAAAATCTGTTCTATATAGAGATATAAAATCTCATCTCTCCGCCTGCTGCTTCCCTCCTGAGTGGAATAATCTGGGCCAGGAATTCAATTTTTGTGGCGCACACCACAATCAGACCATGAAATGTGCTGGGCTCAGACCACAAATGATGACATTCTGTAGACTGAAGTCATTTGGCAGCAGCAGACGCAGACTTGGTCTGGCCACAGAGAACGCACACTCGACCAAAACCCCTTCCGAAGATCACTTTTTTGGTAAAATACTACGCATCAACAGGACAGGACTGAAGTTTTTGTTTTAAGTGGTTTATTTAACTATTGCGAGTTTATTTGTAACAATGCTTCACAAAGGGTGCCCTCTAGAGCAAGGGTGTCAAACTCATTTTCACCAGGGGCCACATCACCAATACAGTTCCCCTTGAAGGGCCGGTTGTAAATGAAACACTATATAGATCATATAGATCACACTATCAACCAGTGTGACTCAGTTTGCAACATAAATCATTACTGTCCTGAATGAAATAATTGTCTTTACATGTATCTGATAGAAAATGGTATTTTTAAACTGTGATAATATACCAGTTATTAATCACATTATGTTGTATTATCAATAAATACACATACAATATTCCAGAAAATATTCAAATGGTTGTTTAGTAGTTTAGTCACGTAGTGAACCATTTCCACTGGATTTCCACAGAGTTATATTAAGGATAAATTAAATCTTAGCACAGACTAAACTTAGATCTGGGGGTAGGGGGAGTTAGGGTTAGGGGCGAACAAACTGGAACATAAGAACTCTCTCTAATTAATATTGTGTGTGTGTGTGTGTGTGGTCACAGCTGTGTGTGCAGATCATCTGTTAAATCATCTAGTCATTAATTTAGGAATGTATCAGTATTTCTTTCTATTTTTAAGAACTAGATATAAAACCATTCCAGATTGCCCTGGTGCTGGTCCTGGTTCTGGTTCTGGTCCTGGTCCTGGAGGCTTTGCGGCCCTGACAGATATTTATTTGTGTCAGTTTTTAGTTTTTCATTATACCTTTGTCCAGGCAGTGAAGCCCTGGTGGCCACAAGAACCCTGTGCACTTAATACAACAGACCTAATTGAATTTAGTCTAATTGGATGATTTGACTCCTGATCCACTTTATCCCTGTGAATCCAGGTCTTATTCTGGCACTGACCTCAACACAGACTTAATTTGAACAGACCTCGGTCATCCTTTTATATTTGTAATATTCATCAAAGCAGATCGGAACCTGTCCAGATTAAAAATCAAATAAAAAAAGTCCAGTCAGAATTAGTTATAGTTGTGAACAGATCACGATCTGAACCGTGACATGAAAGACTGCTGGGTTTGTGTGTTATTCACCGTTACATTCGTAAAGGTTATTTTTAAAGCTTCAAACTTTTGTTCTGCCCACTACTGACGTTGACGACATCTCATCACCTCTGTCCTAGGGTGACTCAGGTTTCCCAGGAGCTCCTGGGTTAAAGGTAAAATCCCCCAAAGACCAGTCTGTGTGTGTGTGTATGTGTGTGTGTGTGTGTGCGTGTTTCATCACTTGCTGATGTAAGTCTCTCTCCTCTGCTGCTAAGGGTCAGGCAGGTGTCTCTGGTACCCCTGGTATCCCTGGAATTCCTGGGAAGAGGGGCTACAGGGTAGGACTGGCATGGACTGAGTGTCTGTCCACTGTCTGTCCACTGTCTGTCCTGTCAGTTGTACTCATTCCACTCTAACTGGACAGCAGTCATCACTTCAGTCAAAGACATCAACGTCCACTGAAGTGTTGGGCACATGTCCACAAGTTCATGTCATCCTTAAGACACATGTTACTAGTTGAAAAGTTATTGGTTATCGGATTGGTTAAATTGACAGTAATAAATCTTGTACTTTCTGTTCATTTTGGGTCTACACACACACGGCACTGGTACTATGAATAATTGGAGTTTGATGTTGTCCATTCATCCACATCCTCATCTTAGAACATCTTGTAGGATTGATAAGATTTAAACCCTAGAAATATCTGGAACAAAAGAAAAAGTTCAAACATGTATTGCTGCAACTGAAGAAAACACACTGTGTGTGTTTGTTCATTTCTGGATGTTTTTAACACAATGTTTGCTGTGTTTGTACATCCAGCTGTGTGGTGTGAACAACCAAACATCAAGAACTAGAAGTTCATGTTCTCCTGAAGTTATTATGAATAAAATCACATGTCAATTATTTGTTGTGTTTGTTTGTGACAGGGTGAGAAGGGCGAGCCCAGCAGTACAGCCCAAGGCATCAAGGGAGAACCAGGATCACCAGGACTTCCTGGACCAGTAGGAGTCAAGGTAAGGAGACTTTCAAAGATACATGGCATTTGAGAGTTTCTGACCCGATCCCGTTTTATATTCCACAATAATATATGTAATCACTGCATTAATGGTCGAAGAGCACTACACATCAGGCTCTCATTGTGATCATTGTATATATTTTCACAGGGTGATAAGGGCGACCAGGGAGTGAAGGTAAACTTTAACATTAAGCCATACTTTGTTAACATTTATATTGTATAATAAATGTCATTCCTCTTTTTACCCTATAGGGGGAGGAAGGACCTGAAGGCCCAGCTGGTCCCAGAGTAAGTCTAAGTTGAACATTATTTTAGTGCACATGATTTTGTTCTGTTTATAACGATGGTTGAAATATTTAGTTAATAAATAAATCCCACTTCACCCTCCAGGGTCCACCAGGTCCAACTGGAGAACCAGGAAAAGCTGAAATCCAGAATGAAAATGTGGGTCACAATCGTTATCATTCAACTGTTGAAAAACTATTTAATTCTGAAATATTAATTACATTTATTTGACACTTTTTCACAGGATATTCGCAACATCCCCCTAATGGTAAGTCTGTGTCACTGCAAGTGTAAATGCAAAATTACTTTTAAAATTCACTTCATTTCCTTTTTTTCATAGGGCCCTCCTGGATTACCTGGACCTCCAGGACCTCCTGGAGGACCTGGAGTTAAGGTATGAAGCATTTCGTAGTGTATTATTACTGCAGAGGAGTAGTATCAAGGCAGATTGCAGGGTCCATTCAAAGACACTCGGAAGTATCTAACCTTGGACTGTACACAGGGTGAAGTTGGTCTACCAGGTCCACCAGGACTGGACGGCGAGAAGGTAATACTTTGTACTCTCTCCACAGATTTCATTAGTAATTTGATACTAATGTTAAGAAGATGAAAAAAAAAATCTGTTTTCTACAATATAACAAAAGTGTCAGAAAGTTATGTAAAATATTCTCTTCGTCCAGGCGTTCTGTGAAACTGTCTCATTTCTCTTCTGGTCTTTTTCTCCAGAGTCTCTGGTCTAAACAATTATTTCATTGTGATTTCACTTGTCTCAGGGACCCAGAGGGAAGTCTGGAGAGCCTGGTCCTGCAGGTCCTGCTGGTCCTCAAGGTCCCAGAGGGGAAGACGGCGTCATGGGATTTCCAGGACCCAAGGGAGACATGGGTCCAGCTGGATCACCTGTGAGTAACTGTGTCAACTATTCATCCCGTCCCATCATGGTCTGGACTTCCCTAATCCACAGCAGATGCTCTCATCTGTCATTAGCCTCAGCTCCTCCCTCAGTTGCCCCTCTCTTATTACCTAATTAGAGGCTTTGAAGAAGCTTCAGAAAAGAGACAGAGTTCAACTTTTATTTCACTGTGGCCGAGAACCACAAATAGAGCATGTATCAGGACATAATCAGGTCAAATCCCATTTCCTCGTCTTATTGCTCGTCAAAGTTCTGCTCCAGAAACAGGAAGTTCTTCATCGTTGTTCTCTGTTGGTTTTGAAGGCCAGATGCCTCTGGTTTCTTCTACAGATACAGCACACTGTATCATCATCAGCTGTTATCAAGTCGTTCTTTGAGAATAGTTGCTGTTAGTGTAGCTTCAATACATAACATGTCAACTAGCGTTAGATTTTTGACAGTCATATAAACTTCACAGTTGTCTGTGTCTCTTTTTTAAGATAAATATTAAACTAATTCCCAAACAAAAAAAGTTTAAAAAGTTCCACTCTGAACCAAAATATAAGTATTTTTTCCATTGACCCTTACTCTTGGATGTCCAGGGTTCTTGTCATGTGATATTTCATGGTGTGTTTATTGAAACCAAACTGACAGCTTAGCCATCCCTGATTTGAAGTTCTCGACCTTTGTCGTGACCCTAATTTCCCCTTCCTTGTTCTGTAGGGTTTAGATGGCCCTACTGGTGAAAAGGGGGCCACAGGGGCCCCTGGTCCCATTGGATTACCTGGCTCAATGGTACGCAAAGCAAAGGTACCCCCCAGGCTTCATCCTTGTGGATGCAGGGTCTGGTCTGAGAAAGGAGGAAGAGTAGAACACGTGTAGTTTTGTTTGAGAAAATACAAAAACAATCTGAGCTACTGTTTAAACTATCTGATTTTTTTTTACATGAGAAATTTAACACTTTTCATGTGTCAATATGTTGTCGTTCTACTATCACAGGGTTCTAAAGGGGAACCTGGAGAAACAGCCAGGGCAGAAATGGTGAGAATCAGATGGTAACTGACATCAGACGGTAACTGACATCAGACTGTAACTGACATCAGACGGTAACTGAGATCAGACGGTAACTGACATCAGACAGTAACTGACAGGTGAACAGTGTGTGACTTATACAGTATATATGTGTGTGTCTTCAGATCTATGGTCCTCCAGGACCTCCAGGACCTCCAGGACCTGTTGGACCAGCAGTGAGTCACAGAGTTTAAATGTTGTTTGATGTTTAAATCCACCACACTCACTGGATTCCATCGATACGATGAATAAATATGTCAATAGTATTTGAATGTGTTAAAGAAATAACATTTTATGATCTGATTGTCTTTTCATTCATATCTGTCTCTTTTCTTCTTTTTTTATTCCAGGGATCACAAGGACTTTTAGGACCTAAGGTATAAATAAGATAAACAAATACAATCCATGTTTTTATTGACCTACAATTTCCCACTTTGAAAGTCACCAATGATTGACATGTTCATTAGGGAGAACCGGGTATTGGGATAAAAGGAGAAAAGGGAGCGTCGGGGCAAAAGGGCGACAAAGGAGACCGAGGTCATCTAGGACTTCCTGTAAGTTTACTCTTTCACATTTTCCTATTTTTATTTCTCTCATTACATATCTGTACTTTTTAAACCCATCCATGATTTTTTATTTTGCTAAAATACAACCTTGAGAACATGAATATTTCTTCCAGCTCTCACGGACTTCTTGGATGAAGCCATTTCATCACAGTCACAACTCAAACACAATTTGTCATTGTTTGTTTTTCTTTGTTTGAAACTTGCAGTTACGAGGCTTCTCTGTTATAGTAGAATGTCTTTGGGATTCTACTGAAAACTGACATAATCATAAACCTCTGGATATTTACTGACCTTACACAACAGAGCCAGACTTATGAAGACAAAGGATTTGGACTTAGAGACCAAACCTGAAAACATTCATTCAAGCCTAACATAAGAAACCAGAGTATCAAAATCATGATCCCTCCCATACCAAAGTCCATTGAGAAATATGATCAACTTATTACAGTGATTAATCCACTACTGTTTTATTCAGTTCAGATGTGTTATTTTAATAGTTGATTGATTGTTTGATTTTTTTATTTACTTTAGTGACACAAATTGACCAAATGACATGACTTGTCAGTGCTGTGCCAGTGTAAGCTAAAATTCCTAATTTTCTCTATGGATTTTTGAATGGGAAGTTAACAGATAAACATCACTTTGCCTGTTGGTACAGTTTGTCTAAAATTGTATCAACATTTCACACATGAGGGAACTCAACTAGAAATGATAAATTATAATCAACAAAATGATGTCTGACCCTGGTGATGATGTCATCACCCACAGCCTTCCAGGAAAATCATTTACTGACATTTTATTGTTGTACCTGTCATTCACCTCCACCTCCACCACCTTCCATTCATGTCATCATTTGAATGTTTTTGAAATCACTGAGTCACTGCTTCACTCACCTCCCCTTCCTCCTTCCCCCACCTCCTCACCCCTACCCTCACCTCTCCACCATCTCTTCCCTCGTCATCTCTGCTCTAACTATGTACAACGCTATACAGGGGGCTCATGGGTTAGACGGCAGACCGGGTCCAGTGGTGAGTGGCGCAATGTCCTGTCCCCCACCTTCACCCTTCTCCTGCTCTTCCTCCTCCTCCCCCCCACCCCCCGGCAACAGCTTGCTTCATGTCTTGCTTGCGTCAGTGTCAGCTCGCTTGTCTTTCATGCTTGTCCTGTTCAGTCCTGTCTTCTTGTCCTTCTTCTCCTGAAATAGCTCTCTCTGTCAGGATGTCATTTTTAAGGGTTGAGGTCTGAGGACTCAGAGGAACTCCTGTTAAAGTTTCCTGTGTCAACCACGACAATCAGAATGACATTAGGAACAATGGAAGGCAACAAAAATACTGGACCAATGATTTTAGGTTCCACCCATGACAGTAGACATCCAGACTCTGGACCCTCAATTACAGTGACCTACAGTGTGTCACGATGTTGGCCAATCACATCCTTACTCCACTGCAGCTGTCACTAAGCTCATGTTCTTTATCTGTTAATAATTTATGGACTGATTAAGCATTCGGTTTATTTAATATAAATATGAAGTGAAATGTGACTTAGCTTCCAGTATAATAAATCATTCCAATGTCGATCCCTCACATCCTTAGTCCTCAACCCTGCTTCCACTGTTTCCTGTTCCTGTACCAGTAAAACCTTATTTTGCTAAAACTCCTGGAGGAGCATGCAGAGATGCCCATGCTGCATGTTGCCATGCACAGTACATGTGGACTGTGGACAGCAATGTTCATGCTGGAAATGCCTGAGATGTGAGGTCTTCCTCTTCACTCCTGCTATTCTGACAGAAAACTACAGCCATTGACATGTTGTTCAGTTTCTCCCCTTTTTATCATTGACACTTTGAACAGTACGTCAACAAGTTTGGTGCCTTTTTGAATTTAAATGTGGACTAGTACCAATAAAAATACTCTATGGTGGTATTTGTTAATGTCCACAACACCGGCTTGTTGATGTACTGATTTGATCATTATCATTCCCTTTTTTTTCTATCAGTATCTGCAGTCTCTTTATTTATATTGAATTGTTCCTTTCAAAGGGTTTAATAGGACCAGCAGGTGTTTCTGGACCAGCAGGACCAAAGGGAGAGAGAGTGAGTGTGTTTATGCTAAGTATTAAAAGTGGTCTCTTTCCATGTGGACAATACATTACTGAGTTTATGTCTGACTGCTACAAACCTACGAACTCCCAACATGTCACAGGACATATGCAAAAAGAGCCATGTGTGAGATTCCTTTATCGTTGTCTTGTAAAACAGTTTTTTTCCTAACGTTTTTGAGCCACGGCACACAAATCATCAGGAACAACACCACAGTACACCACCAAACAAAACTGTCACAAAAACTATATGTAATGAAATATAATAATTTATTAGTTTGAATGACAGGAATTAAAGAAAGATACTCACAAAGATCTTCTTCAACAGTTTTGATTATCTTTTTTTTTTTTAGTTTTCATAGCCATCTGCTGCCCCCTAGTAGAAGAGGATTAAATTGTTCTGCCTTTCATGCTTTGACAAACAAAGAAAAATTATGTGCAATAAATAAATAATAGTTTTCGTAACAATTAAGTGAAATTGGATAATTTTTCCAATGATCTCTCACGGCACACTAGTGGGCCACGGCACAGTGGTTGGAAATCACTGCAGTAAAGAATAAAACACTGGACTTTATCTCTGTTTCCAGATTCCACCCTGACAGGTCACTGGTACTTGATTCCATCACTGGTACTTGAGTCAGTTCCGTCAATTTCAAGGGTATTCAGCCTGATCCTGTGGTCATTTTGGCCCCAGTTGTGTATTTGTCCACATGTGATCAGATCACCATTCACATGTTCTAAAAACAAATTTGAAAACATGGTTTCTCTGAGAAGAAAATAAATGTTTCACGTATTGCTGTTTTTACTGCAGGGTGAAAAGGGAGACGGAGGATTACCAGGACCAACTGGGCCTCAAGGAATCCCTGTAAGTTTAGTTAAACTGTTGAACCTCTGTCATGTTCCCAAGTTAGGGTTCATGCTGGGAAGGTCTTGTGGAGGGCTTCCATGCTCTAAAATTAATTTTTCTTTTTTTGGGAAATACATTTTCTTTAAGTTTTCTACAAGTCCTGATTGTCTGTCTGTCAAATTGGTATCATGGTGTCAACAAACATTTGTTGTTAAACCAAATTCCAAAGCCAGTTAAAATCACATGAAGTGATGTGTTCTGTTTTTTTTTTTTTTTACAGGGATTAGTAGGACCACAAGGACTTAAAGGAAACCGGGTAAGTCACAGTTTTTTTTCTTTATGAAAATTATATCATTGTTATAATTTACAGAGAGACAGTCACAATGTCAGATTTTTTTTATTGTTATTTGTCATAGAAAAGTTCATTAGATTTGCATTGTCTATAGTTTCTGTTGCAATAAAACTGGATATTCTTTAGGTTTTAGCTAAGCTACGATACAAGGATACCACAATATGCTGGTGATACAAGATCAGTACCTGATACCTTTACCTGGTCTGCTAACATAAGGGTCTTCTAAAAAAGTAAAAACAACACTTCATCTTGTACATCTTAGTTGCCAGGTTAAAAAAGCAGATGCTAATTATATGTATCTATGTAATTAAAAAAAACAAAGTAAAAAAATTCCCTGCTAAACTCTGCTAATGAGCTTCTCAAACTCAGAATCTGTACTGGTCAAACCCATATGAAACTGGTATCCATCTTTTTAGTTTTATATAAATAAGATGTCAACATAGAGATAATTAATAAGGAAATAAAGTTTTACAGTTTTTTGATTATACTTATACTTATACTTATACTGTTTATAAAGCCCAGGTTTTGTCAGAGAATGTTTCTGTAATCACCATTTTCCCTTCTTTTTAATGAATGTTTTCCTTTACCTTCCCTTCTCATTAACCTTTGACTCTTAATCATTTTCACTCCCATCTTTAAGTTTTCACATTTCATCAGTTCCTCTCAGCACCTTCAGCTGCTCTCCAGTCCAAACTGGGAAAAAAAACAACAAAACATAAATGTTTAAAATGTTATTTCCATAAATGAAAACCAAGCCCTGACGGTGAGAGTTCAGTTGGGGGTGCTGAAGTCACAGCTGTGGATCCTGTTAGTATTTTTTTTACTGTTTGTCCTGTCTTCCTCTGTTTCCACAGGTCTTCCTCTCCCCTTTTTCCTCCCCTCCACCTTGCTCTGTGGCCCGTGGCTCTGTTTCTTGCCGGGTGTTGCCCTCTCTCTCCCTCTCACACCAACCTTGGTTAATCTGACTGCTCTTACACCTCCTCTTTACTCCTCCTACTCCCACATAACAATCCTTCTCCTCCTGCTAGCTTTTAATTAAGTCCTTTTTGTTACCCCATTACCCTGCTGATCCACAATTAATAAAAAAAAGCACTGTGCTCCCATGACTGTCAAACCTTTATTGATGTATAGAAAATGAGCATCATTATTGTTTTATGTCCTTGTTGTTTTAAGATGAGCTTACATGTAAGTCCGTTTTCATGAATTAGCAACTGAATACCTGCTGTTTCTCAATCAATAATCATAAATTAATCTA